GCCCGCAAAAAATATAATATGTACAAAATGGTTACTTGAATAGTATGCACTTTTATCATTTACTCCATATGCCCTTATAAATTTGAGTGTATTTTAGAGAAAACGGCAGGGATCTATAGAGAGGTTCTAAAAGGGTGAACATTGTTACGAACCGCTTACTTACATATTTTAAGTAGGTTGAATTTCCCTCAATCTCCCAATTTTACGGAATCCGGCCATTGGTCCAGTGGAGATTGGATGGTGGTATTGAACTGTAGGGGGGTCCTCGGAAGACTACCATGCATAGTAACCGCTTAAGTCAGTTTATTACGTGAAATCTCTTTTCAACTTAACTATGGGAATAACGACTGACCTACAGATTTTAGGTAGGGTGAATTTCCACAATCTTCCAACTTTTTTACTCTTTCGCCATTTTCCTAGTTGGGGTTTGTGATGCTATTAAAAAATGTACCTGAGCGACTTCGCCCAAGGTCAGCGAACACCCCCCGACATACACGCGCTCACCGTTGGTCTAGAAAAAGTTAATGATGATGTTAAAATGTACCTTAGTGTCCTCGCCCGAGGTCTGAGCACATTTTCCAACTTACACGTGTAACTTTTATTTCATTTGCATGATTATTGCGCATTGAATTGTTCCCTGATACCCCCACCCATTCTACCCTCTAAACCCAAGTGCCCATATCGGAGTGGAGGGCGCTTCGCGCGCATTAGGGGGACCCCACTATAGATCCTTACCGAGAAAACATGCACAAAGTTATTCTTGCTTGTACTCCTTTAGTAGCAGATTAAGCCTTCTTCAAAGTTTTTACCTGAATAAAGTATATCTTTCAGGGTTTTCTAAATTACCGAAGACCCTTTAACCCTACCGGTCGGTTAAAACTGAATTTACTTTTTCCGTATGCTGTATGCATTTTGTCTACGGCGAAATAAATATATCCCAACGGTATGAGAAAGTGATCGTAAAGTATTCATACAGTTCTGTAATCGCGCTGGATTATACTAAATAGTTTATAGGCAACATTAATAAATTCGCGGCTTTGATGGATTATGAATATGCATTTCCCGGTCTTCATAAATCTTATGATAAGAAACTTTATAAAAGCGAAAGGGACCCTTTCCTCAGGTACAAACTTTGAAGAAGGCGTAATCTGCTAATATAGATGTGCAAGGGAGAATATTTTTGAGCCTTTTTTAATGAAATTTATAAAGGCGTTGAAAATAAATGAGAAAAGTGCAGACTATTCAAGTAGTAATTTTTGATCTGAGTTTGGTTTTTCAGACAATAAGCAAGAGGCTTATTCAGAAGCCTATACCCTGAAGTGCTGAAATATCTTGGTATTAAACTGCACGATAGCCAATATTACAATCCTACTTACAGGAGTATTCATTTATAGACCCCTGTATGCATTTAATAGACCCCTGTATGCATTTATATAGACCCCTGTATGCATTTATATAGACTCTTTTTGATTGAAGGCAGAATAAAAAAATGAAGCATTCTTTTTTCGAATGAATATCACTTTTAAAGGACGTTTCACCAGCTCTTGCATTTTCAACCTATTTTCTCATCTCTCTGAACAAATTGATGTAGATGAGGTCTTCGATTGTGAGTATAGCTCGATCAACGCACTCTCTAATTTGTAAGAAAGTGTTTTTAGGTGATCGTTCAGAATGAAACCTTGCTTTGACAATAGAAAAGAATTGCTCAATTGGATTCAAATGCGGGGAATATGCAGGAAGGTATTTAATGAGAATTCTTTTCCTTTGACAAACCTCTTTGATTTCCGGACTGTGGGTCAACTCAAATTAACGTTATCCATCACTAGTGTTGGCTGTGGTTCTCCCAATGGTGTGGTAGTCAGATTGTCTTCGAGAAATTCAGCTAAGAGAGTACGATTAACGGCTCCTTCGTACATTCTATGTGCAACTACACCACTGTTCTTGATCATTTCTAGCAGGCGCTTATTCTGGCCTCGGCTACCTTGTACAAACTTCACAGCTTTCACATTCACTGGAGAATGGCCATAGTGTCTCTGTGTGTGTCGCGAAAATCCAGCCTCATCCAGG